TCAAAAGACGCATGATAGGTATAAGTCAAAGGCTGGGGAACCTGGGACCCTCACTCCAACAACTCCGAGAATGACTGAGAGATACTCCTAGCAAGAGAGAGAAATTCTATGTACTTTACTGCCTTTATGCTTTGCCATTTTCTGTGTGAGGTAAACTGAGTGATGTAAAGACCTCAAAATAGGGAGAAATGTTTGGGAAAGTGATGTAAGATTAGTGTGAAAAGCGACAGGAAAGTAACTACAAGGGAAAGTAGAAATAGGTATATACTGTACACTTGCCGTTATTCTCAGCTAATACACAATGCACAGTGATTCTTAACATCTCTATTGAGTTACGTTTCATGTCAACTCATTGTACTTGCTAGGGAAAAGCTACGTGAGACTGTGTAATGCTCGTCATGTCACTAATTGTAAAGGACAAGCAAATGTTTCCCTCCTTTCCCAAGCCTAGCATGAAAAAAACTACAAAATGAAGTAGCGATCAATTCCTGGTCATATAACCAGCCAGAATTTCTGGAAAAAAAATCCTTGACAATTTACAGTCGAATACATAGAAAATATCAAAATGTATAATGGAGAATTGAACTTCTACGAAAATATACTTGCTATACAATAGTTCTTGGTGCATAAAGTAGTTACTCTGATAAGTTAAACCTCTGATAAATGAAAATTGAAATTGAAGACATCCATGCAAGGTTTCGCCTGGAAACTGTGGCTCCACCCCCCCATGGCATGACTAGGCTTCTAACTCACGCTGCATCATTCACGGATTTCCTCCACTATTTATTTGCTCTCTGCTTTAAATATGCAACTGCTGGATTTTAGTCGAATTGTGATTTAGGAGTAGTGTTTTATACAAGGCTTCAGGAACGCTCAATAATTTTGTGGTGGGTGAGGTGAGGGAGGGGCAGGAAGTTCAGGAACTGAGGCTCAAACGTCATCGTCTCGTCCCTGCACGGGAACACAACCTCGATCCGTCCTCTTTTATGTAGTGTGGGTGCTGGTCGGTGGCGGGCTAAAAGTTTATCATTTAAGGTGCCAAGTCCAGAGGCATGTGACCTGGCGTGAGGGAAGAGCCAGTGTGACCTCGTGTTGTGTTGTGAGGTAGGCGACCACCGTCAGCATTGCCCTGTGTCAGTATAGTTTAAGAGAGTAGTAAAAGATTTTTAGTAAAATTGTGCTTGTGGCATCGAAGCAGTGTTAGAAGAAAATCAGCTCTGCGTTCGGAAAAAGAAGGGATATCCATCCATCTCAAGTCATCATGTAAAATACTTTGACAAGGGTAATATTAAAGGACCTTGCCCAGCATCCTGCAGGTCAGTTGTCTAGTACACTATCATGGGCCTTTTCTGCCAATGGCGGCCACGATCTTACACTTAATTTAAAATAAGAAAAACGAACCAACTAAACCCACCGTAACCTACCAAATTCTCGCCGAGGTGAAAAAATTTAGAATTCTGGAATTAATGAAGATAATGTTAAATATATATTATATACAATGTATTCTTTATTGAACATATTTGGTAATTAGGTTTATAGAATTCCCAATGGTGTTAACTGTTAGCGCAGCGTCTGTACCATAATGCTGGATTCCGGTTGTCACCAGCAGAGAAACAGGGCGGAACTATGAAGTATTGAAAGTCAGCCACAAATAATTTAATCAGCCTAGTTACAGCATCAACATTTATTGCAGTGCTGTTTTACGAGAATTAGATTTTCCTCGCTTAAGTTTGAATGAAACTAACCTTAGGTGCAAATAATAAGCAAACTGCTGTAAACTATCTAGCCCTTCCCTTTTGACAAAACTTGGATGTGTCATTGTAGTAAGTTTTAGGAATGGAAAGACGAATAATAAACAATACTTGGCCATGTGAAGTGCTTCGATTATCTCAGAGCAATTGTGATTATTTTTTGTGTCGTCATCTTTAATTTTGGATGGATCACTGGGTAGGCCTGTGTGTAGTGTGTAAAGGAGTACCGTAGTTTATGTAGCACAGAGAGTGTATTTCCCGTTGAAAAACAATAATGAGATATCATTCGTAAAATTGAGTCTGATACGATTTTGTGGGGAGACTGTGAAATGAAGTAAAACTAACCCAACATAAACTCACAGGCCACTAGGGTGCAGCACCTTCGGCCATTTAACTGTTGCGTTAAACACCATACGCTGAGTTGGTATTTCGTCAGCTACTTCACCTGCCAGGGCCATTAAACATCAAGCATCTAGATTTGTCTTTTGCAACAGAACTTTTTAAGATTTTAGAGAGACAACTATTCCAGGGGGGTTGTCTTGTTATTGTGTTGAAGTTTGGAAGCAAGTAGGACGCCATTTAATAGCCAGCTGTGATTGACGACACCAGGTATGGTTACAACCAATTACCTACAAATTTAAGATAAGAAATGGAGCTGTAATGTTATGTCGTAATCAGAAAATTCCGAGGTACAAATCAAACGCATTAAAAGTATAGGTGCCTTAATCTGTTGTGGAAATGTAGCGAAATGCGGCACAGACCAAGCCTTGTGCAGTTGACAAACGTTTCTTCTAGTGACCGGAAGAAGTTAAGGGAAAAAATGTCACAATTTGGGTTTTGTTAGGTGACTTGTGTGACTTGTTTTCCTAGATTCTTCATCTAGTAGTCTGCGTTAATAGTAAGAATAAATTGAAATGGATATAAGGCGATAGATGCCCAGTAGGCAGTAGTGCACATGAATGATGAGTGTAGCCGCTAGTGGTTTATAGAGACGCTAATAATAAGAGTGAATAGAGGAAAAAGGAAAAATCTACTTAACCTTATCTAACTTAATAGTCGTGGGCTCCGTCCCCCGGACCCCTCCGCATATTAAACAAAGAACTTTCTTTGGTATGGTGTTTTTTTTTTTTTTTTTCGGTAGACGTGAGAGAAACTGAGCGGCTCGTAAACATACACTGAGCGGACAAAATAGAGCTGGATTGGGCTGCACCGCTTACCGCTGCGAAAGACAAAGTAACGCTTCTACCAAACGAAGCATTTGTGATGAAAATGTAGTAAGAAAAGTTCCAAAGTTATATAATGATAATTATTTGGTCACTTCCAAATCTTACCACGTTATACAATAGTACTGTAATGATGATGGACTGAGGTGTCACTACTAGCATTTGGCCACAAAAGGATAAAGACCTTTAATTAAACGAAAACTGGCGTTAGATAACAAAAGGAAGTGTTATGATTTTCTTATTTTTTCTAAGTACTCTTCATGAATTTTGTTATTTGGGAACCACCTTTGTTTTGTGCAATTTTGTATAAAAAGCTTATTACACAAAATAAGATGTTAATGTTTTTGCTCCAGGCTTGAAAAAGCTGCTTTCATTTGTAAATTTGGTATAATGATAACATGATATTGTTTTAAGTGCAAGTATTAAATGGTCATCACTCTTTAGGTTTCTGGGGATGAATTTGATATAAAATTATTGTACTAACAATTTTCGTTTATCTCATGAACGCTGACAGTGCCAAATATGGTTATAAAGTAATACTTCAAGTTCAAAATACACAGTTTTCATAAATTAATAGACTAGTCGGCCAATCTTACAATGAAAGCACAGGGGCATGTTTTTGAAGGTGGCCGAGCACATTGATAGTGCATGTGATTATTGCTAACCTTAATATACAGTAAATGTCATATCTTTCCCTAATTCGACACCATTTTATTCTGAAACAAATTAAAGCAAGGGGAAGCAGCTAAATCCCTACATCATTTACCATGTTGTGATGCCGGATCATTGTTGTAGTCCAGCACCTCACGCCATGTTCCTAATTTAAAGAAAAAACAACTTAAATTTATACATTGCGAAACGACTAAACTTTGCGTGCCACTGTACACAATAAGGCTCATAATAATTGTATCTTCATAGTTCTTAATAATGTACAATCATTTTAATGGTTGAATTAGCCTAGGTTCTGTAGGTTAGAGCCGGCTAGGTTACAGGTTAGTTAGGTTAGGTTACGTTACGTTAAGAAGTTGGGTAGGTATAGGTTAGGTTAGGGTAGCTTAATGGTAGGTTAGGTTAAGAAGTTAGGGTAGCTTAATGGTAGGTTAGGTTAGGTTAAGAAGTTAGGATAGGTATAGGTTACGTTAAGTTAGGGTAGCTTAATGGTAGGTTAGGTTTAGAATTTAGGGTAGTTTATTATTGGTTAGGTTAAGTTAGGGTAGCTTTTGATGGGGTAGATTAAGTTAGGTAGGTTATTATAAGTTAGATTAAGAAGTTAGGATAACTTATGAATGAGTAGGTTAAAAAGTTAGGTAGCTTATGATAGGTTTTGGTTAGATTGTAAAATTAGAGATGGTTATAACAAATTAGATTTGGTGTGGGTGGTTTAGAGAGGATAGATTATAATTGGTTACCTTTGATACGGTAACGAGGCAAGTGGTACTTATCTTCAGTTACCGGTAGTTTAGTCAAGTTGGCAAACATGGTACAAATAACTACGTATTTGAATAATTTATAACATTCTATATTGTTTTTTTTATTTGTTTATTATTAATCATTTCCACTACTTGTTAACTTATTAACCGTTCGGTCGGTCTGTCTGTTCTGTTACGCACATCTATTAGCACAGGAGGAAAATGGAGTACCCGGAGAAAAGCAATAGCACTACCGCTGTCAACGCGACACTTTATCCGTCAGCGTTGCTGTATTTATTAAATTAGATAATGTTTGAATATATCGCGTGTTATCAATTTATCATACCCCCAACATTTCCATAAAGGCAATTAAAGTGAAAAGTTGCAATGTGCGATATTTGTTTACACAAAGTTTTCAGTAGTTCAGCCCCAGTACTGTACTTCAAACTTCAGACAATAAAGCCTACCAACAACGTTAAATGGACGCTCTCCCAGACCCAGAATGATAAACCCCTTTCCTGGGTTTGGAGTTTCGATTTGACACCGGCAGAGTGCAAGGGGAGTTAGGCACTGGGGCGCCCTCTAGGCCAGCTCAGTGTCGTTGCTGCCGCCGCCTCGGTAAGACCACGCCGGCCGCCCTCCTCGACACCTGCCACATATACCACAACACTCACACCGGGGAATGTATCCACCCACTTGTTGTGATACACTGTTCAGACTCGTCCAGGGAGTGATGTGACCTTACAAGTGGTGGCGTTTTGTCTTGTCGAAACCAGAAAGATTGTGAGATTAACATGTGAATATGCATTTGGGTTATTCATATTGACGGACTTGGTTGTGTATGAAGGAACACCTTACATTTTGATAACTGTAACTAAAAAATCATCTTCAACGAGATAATATAATGTGTTAATGTGTAGTTAATGTGAAAAATTTGTAAAAAATAAAAAAAATACGTCGTGATCAGTCGTATGCTAACTCCCATTGTTAAAGAACTTAGATTAACAGAAAGTTTTTACGTCCTATATCTTTATTCAGATGAAAGTGTCATGACAACCCTGTGAGAGCCTGAGCATGGCACACGTCTTTGTCTGCACACCGCATGACTAGAGGCTGGTCGCTGCCCCCACCACCACCAACCCGACATGTCCAGGAGGAAGCAAGCCAAACCCCGCGCTTTAAAACGTGAGTAGACATGTTGTACAGTACACACCTGTCCTGCACTTATCAGCTTCTGTAGTTAGCCTGATCATAATGGCATGACTGTATAAATAATACGTACACACGTATATTTAATGCTTATATATAGATAATTTATATATAAATTAAGTATGATTTAGGTACTCTATTGTGTATAGGATATTATAATGTGCATGTTTGTATTTCTGGCGTGTTTGAAGTTCTGTATGCCGTATCTATTATTGGTTTTATTATTAATATTATGTGTTGTAAATTATTGTTCAACATTTTACATTTTAATGCATTAATTAACTGCATGATTAAACTTACACCTGTTGTTATTGTTGTAGTATCATTACTAATTCAAACTCGTAGTGAATGAATGAATGAATGCATCAGTAATTTACATGATTTATACAAAACTATTATTATAATTATCAATACATGCACGGTCATTAATACTGCTGGTAATTATTTTGTACTTTCTTCAACAACCATTTTAAACACATATAAGGACAGATTACTGTTTTATTATTTTGATCGGTAGTATTGTTAGGTCGACAGAGTTACGCAGGAAGTGACGTCTTGCCATATACTAAATGAAACGATGTTTTCAATTGGAAGTTATGTGATGTAGGAACAGCATTATTTAGCAGGAAATTCCGCATAATAGGATTCCGGGGTATAAGTGAATTTACAGTAGGCTGAGGCTCTGCAAGATGGACTACAGTATTAACAGCTATATATAAGGCATGAATGGACCACTCAGACGCCCCCCCCCCCCGCCTCACCTCTGCCTGGCTGGAGTTATACTTAGGATTTAATACACCCGTGTTACTGATTTAAGTTAAAAAAAAATTCTGGGTAACAAATATCTGCTTGGTGAGTGGGAAGATTTTTACAACTAATTTTGATTTGATGTTAAATGTTGGTTCATAAACTTTACGGTTGGCTCGCTTCATTTATATTCTGCAATAAGACCGCATGTGACGTCCAACTGGCTTGGTCCTCTCCATAATGGTCACCTGATAAAACCCCCAGACACGGGTCCTTATTGATAGCCTTTGCTTGATTGATGAACGAATGGTCCCGTATAGACGTAAGATCTGCGTGAATGTCCGTGTAACATTGTAAGTCCCTAGATATCTCGCTCTGTACACCACAAATATATAAATAATCATTAGGAGAAACACAGTACTTCATCACAACAACAATGTGAATGGAAAAAGAGCTGAAAACCCGCTGGCTGGCGAACATGGTGCACCCTGCCGCTCACAGTAGGGCCGCCCCTCCGCCGCCACTTCCCACTTTCTCTCACCACCGCCTCTTTTTTCTCGTTTTCGTCCGCGGCTCAGAGAGAAAACGGAGCCAGTGAACTGACATTTAGGGGCGACGAACTAATGTCTGTGGATAGATGAAAACATTTTAGAGAACAAAATGATCAGACATATATTTTGGGCACGAAGCAACGCTGATGCTTTTATTATTATGTTGGCTAATACCTTTGTTATGTGCCAAGGGGATTGGTGGTTAATAGCCACTGATGATTAAACTTGGAGAAAAAATAATAGGCACGTGATGGTACAGTCATTCTTATGCATGAGTATTTGGTCCTTGACGGAGACCAGTTGTGGATTTTGAATGGTTCGTGCGTTGAATTCTCCTGGTAACTGGGGATGTAGAGCTGTGTAAAACTCACTGACTTGAGCTTAAGCACAGTAAATAGTCTTCAGAATGGCATCGAAATCACTCTGAGATTCCTTCTTAATTACACGAAGGTCACTAGTGGCTCCCAACTGGTGGTATTCGAGAGCTGTCCAGATGGAGCTTTGTTTTAGTTATGAGGAGCTGGGGGAGCTACAGGTTAGGGTCACCTCTCAACCTCTCGGAAAGGAGTGAGTTGCGGGGTAACATTAAAACGTAAGGAAAGAACAACCGTAAGTGACTCCAATAAACTATTTTGTCATATTTTAAACCTTTTTCTCGTTGGAATCCACTCATAACGTATATTTGACTGTAAATAAGATTCGCATTTAAAAGATAGAAACTTATACTGCAATAAGATAATAGTTTCCATGCTCTGACGTCATTTTGAATACAATAGTGATATGATTATTTTACACGCAAGATAATGAGGATGTCAGTGAGTCGTCAGCGAAAAAAAAAATATTATTTGATAATTTTTTCTTATAATGTGGATCTGATTTCCAAAATGTCTGACGTAACTGTCATGTTTAGGCTGTTGATACTTCTCATTGTCGGAGGCTATGAGTGACATTATATGGGTGTAGGGGCTACTGTTGCCTTAAGGTCATTGTGTTAGACTACAAGTTATACAGTATCATAAGTTTGGGGGCTACTTTTATAACGCTTTCTTGTGTTTGACAAATTGCAGCAGTTAAGTTCACGGGTCTGTGGCTATTTGTGTAATGGCCATCATTGTTTTTAAACTAGTACTCCTCACATGATCATACCCAGTCATTAAGGTTCCTTCTTCCACCATAGACCTATTGAAGTGTCTAGTGGACTGTGCTAGGCTGAGGTGCTGCTGGCTACTCTTGTCTCGCATTCATTATACTTGGCTACCGAGGTCTAAGGTTTTCTCCAGTCCAATACTATAGTTTAACAAAACTTCCTAAACATCTAGTGGTGTACACCATCACGGCAGCGTCCCTATTAGCCTTGGCGTCGGGTAACTTGATTTTAATGGGGAATGGGACAACTGTCCGCCGCCATCTGGCCGCCGCGGACTGGGGGTAAACTGCAAACGCCTAATTTTGCGCTCTCAAGGCAGGTTAGGTTAGGTTAGGTACTTCATGGGCTGCGGCCAGATGGCGGCGGCCAGTTGTCCTAGACCCATTTTAATGTTCTCCTTCGTTAACTGTACACTAAACTCATTATTGTACTGAATTGCGAGTCCTCGAATTTGCGTCCTGTAAATTGTTTACTTCACTTGAAAACATTGAGGGAATTAATTAATTCACTTAACGCCTCTGCTTCAGCCTGGACGGACTCCATATATCTTCTCCAACTCCCAGATCTGATACAGCCACACGTGTTTTTAATTTTGATTCATGCATGTAATAAAATCCTTTGGGGTTCGACTGGGCCTCAGCTGCTGAAACTCCGCCTTTGTATTCTTCGTTTGATTTCTGAATGTCACTGTCCTGCTGGTCAGGAGTGGCGGTCGACTCATCTCTTGAAACTGAGATGCCAGTGTCTTCCTAAAAGTTTCCAGGATGTTCTTAATCAGTCAGCTTTAGTGTTTGGTATACAGTATTTTCCCATCACTTTACATTTGATTGTTTCCCAATAACTTTACAATCGTGTTCAAAACGCTTGTTAAGTTATGTTCGTCGCCTCCTCACTCCTGTCATTATACTCACCATCGTTATGTTTTAACCTTTGCTTACGTTCTTCATGTGTTAAGTACTGTTCCGGGTAATAATTACACGTGAAGGAGTGTCGCCAGATTAGTGCCAATAGGGTCTAAAGTGTCCGTTAACACACTCTCCTCGGTGGTTAGGGCGAAATACGTACTACCCATAAGTGTCTGCTGACGTATTACTAGTGGGTTGGTCCTCAACATGTGGAGATAAAAGACTATCCCTTAAGAGTCTCTATAACAAGGCAGTTGGGTTGATAAGATCAACTATAATTAATTCATCCTGGTGGCAGTTTCAGTTTGCTGTCATATTTCAATTGTTAAATATATATATAATTAGGTGATCTGTTTATACGTGGAAGAAAGGGCGCGTCACTCACCATTAGTGTGTGATCTACACTACGTCGATAACCACAACCCTTCTGCGTGTTGTCCGTGACAGGTTCGTGATAGATCCCTCATATAGAGATTGAACTCTTATTCCTCTGGGTGAATCCTTTTATTTTGATAATACAGTTTTGTAAGTCGTAATGCACCAGCTGGATGGGTTAGAGTTTAATGCGGCGGTGTTTCTGAGGAGTGAGTGCTGGTGTGTTGACTTAAACTAGACTCAGTATGCGGTGATAGCTCTCACCTGTCGCATCATTAGCAGCCAGACCTTTACGATATCTTCAATACTATTTGGGTTAAGTTTTTCATAAAAGTTTCTAGAATTAATTTTTATCGTAAATGGAGAAGGAAGATCTCACCCATCCAGCTGACTTTAGCAGTAACACAACAATTAACATCCAAAATGGTATAAAGTTGTTCTGAGACTCTCTTTTGACTTAACACTATTTATGGGACAACAATAACATACAGGAACTTTGTGACTCGACTAGAGGCTTCCCGGGTACAGTATACACAAACACCTTGTAATAAACACACACGGTGACCTGGTGATGGTGAATACAAGTGTCTGTGTGTCGCATAGCAATATAGGATTGTATTGCAATTGCAAGCACGCCCACAGACATGCTTGCTTGCGTACAACACTAAAACAAACATTTGTTATAAACACACACACACACACACACACACACACACACACACACACAAGGAGCGTAGTGGTGGTGGCGTCAGACAGTCTGGCATCCCTAGGGAGTCTCTCCTCTACCCCAGGGACTCCTGTCTCCCTCCCTCACCACCTCCCTCTCCCTTCCCTCCTTCCCTTACACCTCCCACACCCTCCCGTCATACTTTCCCGCCGCCCCCTTCCTTCCTTCCTTCCTTCCTTCCTTCCTTCACTCTCACGCCACCTTCCTCTCCCTCTTTTGTTTTATCCTTCATTCCCCCTCTCTCGACCCACACTCCTTTTCCATATCCCTCCCACCTTCCTTCCTTCCTTCCTTCCTTCCTTCCTTCGTTTTCTTTCATTTCCTATCCGTTTTCCACGTCCATTCCGTCCTCTTATATTCTCCCTCCTCCATCCTCTCTTCGTTGTCTTCCTTCCTTGATACCTCCATTCTCCTCACCTCCTTACATATCTCTCTCTCTCTCTCTTCGAGTCATTGTGTGAGGGAAGGGAAGGAGAGGAAAAAAAGGTAGAGGAGAAAAAGAGGAAACTGAGAGAGGGGGAAGA